GAGTCAGACCTTTGGACCTGGCCATGTGCCTGGCAGGCTCCTGCCACAGAGCCAAAATCAACAGTCATGCTCCCTAGACACATGACCCCAAAATGCTGAGGTGGGTGGAAACACTCAGCAATTTGTTCTTTAATTAGAGAGAACGGGGAGGCTCACCAGTCTGTGCTGAGCCCAGTGCCATCCTGTCTCAGGGGCCGTGACTCCCCACCCTCGCCCCTGGGGTTCAGCAGGCCATTTTTCCGGCAGACAGAGCCTTGCCCCCCAGCAGGTGTCCAGTGAGAAGTCTCGCTGGGGTATCAGTGCCCCTGCCTGCAGGAGGAGGCTCCCGGAGATTGCCTGGCTGTGCTTCCTCCAGCTGGCGGAGGGGTGGGGCCATTTGCCAGGAGATTGGAAATGAGCCCTCCCCTCCTCCAGAGCACCCTGGCTCCTAGAGGGAGGGGATCCCTCTCGCTCCGCTGAGTCTGGGGCCTTGACAGGGCTGCAGGTTGATTTGGGGTTTAGCTCAAGGCTCCTCCTGGATGTGGTGTCTTGGCAAAAGTTGTCTGTAGGTCAGGAAGGCAGGAACTCTCTGGGTACAGCCAGCCACCCACTGCCCTGTTTCTGTGGGTTGCGATCCCCAAGTCCCTGGCGGGGTGTGGTGGCCTGGCAAGTCCTTTGTTCTTTGGCTGCCGTTGTCGTCTGGCTGGACTTCCTCTCCTTGCAGCGTCCCAGGGCAAGTGGGGACAGGTTTAACTTTCTCTGGGCTTGGATCAGCACCAGTGATTCTCCCGTCCCGCCCAATCACGGGGAACTTCTCTGTTGATGATAGCCGCTGCATGGTGGTATGAGGGTGCTCAGTGATCCCATTCCTTGCAGCTGTCAGCCTGGCCCGTGGCCCTACGGGGTGTTTGGGCAGGCAGCTGGCTCGCTAGGACGGCCAGGGTCGGATCAGAGCAGGGACCGCTCCAGAGGTGAGGCCTGGCTTTGGCTGGCCTGTTCTGTCTCGTTCCCACACCAGCCCAGCCCCGCGCACGGCAGCCTGCAGCACGCACCCTCCCCTGGAACAAGCTTGTGAGTGATTCATTCATGGATTTAGCCCCTCTCTCGTTTAATGACAAATTAATATTTTACAGCAGGGGAACCTATAAATCACAGCATTAACTGCCTCACCTGTGCCTGGCTAGGGAACTGGACCCTATCCTGCCTTCCATGCCCAGGCGCCTGGCTCTGCAGCCCCACAGAATGGCCGGTGGACACAGTATTCTTGCCAGCAAGTTAAAGAAGTATGGGCTGGATGAATGGACGATAAGGTAGACAGAAAGCTGGCTAGATTGTCGGGCTCAACAGGTAGTGATCAATGGCTCCATGTCTAGTTGGCAGCCGGTATCAAGGGGAGTGCCCCAAGGGTCAGTCCTGGGGCCGGTTTTGTTCAATATCTTCATCGGTGATCTGGAGGATGGTGTGGATTGCACCCTCAGCAAGTTTGCAGATGACACTAAACTGGGAGGAGAGGTAGATATGCTGGAGGGTGGGGATAGGATACAGAGGGCCCTAGACAAATTAGAGGATTGGGCCAAAAGAAATCTGATGAGGTTCAACAAGGACAAGTGCAGAGTCCTGCACTTAGAATGGAAGAATCCCATGCACCGCTACAGACTAGGGACCGAATGGCTCGGCAGCAGTTCTGCAGAAAAGGACCTAGGGGTTAGAGTGGACGAGAAGCTGGATATGAGTCAACAGTGTGCCCTTGTTGCCAAGAAGGCCAATGGCATTTTGGGATGTATAAGTAGGGGCATTGCCAGCAGATCGAAAGACGTGATCGTTCCCCTCTATTCGACACTGGTGAGGCCTCATCTGGAGTACTGTGTCCAGTTTTGGGCCCCACACTACAAGAAGGATGTGGAAAAACTGGAAAGTGTCCAGCGGAGGGCAACAAAAATGATTAGGGGACTGGAACACATGACTTATGAGGAGAGGCTGAGGGAAGTGGGATTGTTTAGTCTGCGGAAGAGAAGAATGAGGGGGGATTTGATAGCTGCTTTCAACTACCTGAAAGGGGATTCCAAAGAGGATGGATCTAGTCTGTTCTCAGTGGTAGCTGATGACAGAACAAGGAGTAATGGTCTCATGTTGCAGTGGGGGAGGTTTAGGTTGGATATTAGGAAAAACTTTTTCACTAGGAGGGTGGTGAAAGACTGGAATGCGTTACCTAGGGAGGTGGTGGAATCTCCTTCCTTAGAAGTTTTTAAGGTCAGGCTTGACAAAGCCCTGGCTGGGATGATTTAGTTGGGGATTGGTCCTGCTTTGAGCAGGGGGTTGGGCTAGATGACCTCCTGAGGTCCCTTCCAACTCTGATATTCTATGACACAGGCCTTTCCAGCCCCCATATGTGGACCAAGCCCAGCTGGCAGGAGTCCCTGGGAAAAGAACTGTGCGTTCAGGCGGCAGCTCCGTCTGGCCGGTGCACAATGAGGAGCTGGCATCGGTTGGCACGAAGAAAGTGACCGAGGGTGGGGGGAGCTTGCTCCTTACGTCTCATTCTCAGAGTCTGGAGGGCTTTGGCCCGTCATGGTTAGGACAGATTTTGGGAGGATCAAGCCGTGACCCATTATGGTGACTAAAGACGGTCGCTTTAATAGCCCTCATAGTGCAGAAATTCCCTTCAGCAGCCCTCTCCCGGAGCCCATCTCCTGGCGTGGGGACAAGATGAAATCCCTACGTGGCTGGAGGGTCCAGCATCTTAGAGCCGGACACTTGTGCTGCTGATCTCGCTTTGGAGCCAGGGAGAAGGCAGCTGAGAAAAGGGCTAATGCAGGATCCCCCACCATTGGCCAGGAGACCCACCATTGCAGCTCCTAGCGGCAGGGCTATCCCCTCCTCCCCCTGACACACACACAGCTAATGGGCTTTGTCCCTCTGCACTTCTTCTTCCAGCCCCCACGTCCCTCACCGCCTGCAGAGCCCCCGCACCAGGCACGGGCTCTTCCTCCCAGCTGCTTTTCAAACGGCCTGTGCTCCCTGGGAGAATTTCCTTTCAGTACAATTTCTCTGCTGGCCGAGTCTATTGAGGTGCAGCACTCACGCCGGCTAATGGACTCGCGCAATGGCTGCCTGCTCTGGCTTTTGCTGAAGGGGTCGCCATGCAATCAGCGGGTGGCCTCCCCTGCCCCATGGATTCCTTGCGTAACTTCTAATCAGTCCGGCACTGACAGCCGGGTGCTTTCCCTGTAGAAGGGGTCGGCCTGGTTCAGAGGCTCCGGTTCAGGGAGCAGGACCCGAGTAAGGGAGGCCGTCAGCTAGCCCTGCGCAGGGTTGGCCTTTTTCTTGTTTTTAATAAGATCCTGCCAGTCCTTGTACAATTTAATTCTGACATGTAAACTAGCCCAGGCCAGGGGCTGTCAGCATCTGCAGCTTAACATGTGTGAGGCTGGGGAGAGAGCACTGGCTGTCTTGTCTGTCCATCCATCCAGCCACTTTCTGGCCTTCCTCACCATCCTAGCTGCTTCCCTGCGCCCACCGGCTTGCTCCAGGACTTCCCCCTCTATGACACCAATATGCTAACACACGCCTTGCCCAGCCACCAGGCTCCCATTCAGGAAGCCAGCCCTCCGGGCACCATTAACTTGTTTAGGATGTGAATGTAAATAGCACTCAGACAGGCAGGTAATCTAATACCCTGCGATGGAGAGAACTGCTGGGAACCCTGAGCAAGCGTTAATTGCCCAGCAATCCCGAAGCCAGGGGAAGGGGGCGGGGAGCTGGCTTATTGCTTGGTGGGGGGCGGTTTGATGAGGTTGCATTTATTTCTCCCCTCTCCTCCAGCAGCTCAGCAGGGCTCGTCACTCCTCACTGTGCACCCACTAAGACCAGGGCCCTGCACCAGCCGGGAAGATGCTGGACTCAGCTGCGGTTGCTAGCGCTCACAGTGGTTTTGTTTAATTTGAGGAGAGGCTACAGCCAGCTTTAAAAATGTTCAATACTTTTTTTTCTCCCCTATCCCCCCACTTTTCTGACCAGTACCAGGTCAAAACCCTTTGGATTTGATTCTGTTTGATTTCCTCCTTGGGTCAGCTGGTCAATTTAATCCGTTAGGGACATTTCATTAAAAATTTGAACAATGTTTATTAAAATACAAAAATACACTTGATTCTCAGAGTACAGTCAGATTGTTCTGAAGTTGCTCTTTCTGTTCTCACCCTTTAGATTTGAATCCTTTCACTTTGTTTTTTAAAGCTCAGATAAGAAAGGAAAGTAGTTACATTGTTTAAATGGACCAGAAGGAAATGCGCACGGCCTCCCCCCAATGCTCCCCTGCTCCCCAAACACCTTTCACGGGCTGCTTTGGGGGGTAAATGTGACAGGGAGGAGAGCCTTTTTCCCCCTTCTAGGGTTCACCAGATGCTCGCGTGAGCAAGAGACTTTCTGGCAATATGACGATTCCCCCATGCATAATCTGGTTGCATTTCTATAAACGAGAGTATTTCTGCCTTGCAGCAGCTCCGGTCTGTTTTTGTCCCACCCCTCCCGCCCCCACCAGTTGACAGATATCTAAAGAGCCCTCAATTGATTGGGGAACCCCAGCAGTTTGGGAGGGGGAAAAAGCTTCATCTCTTGCCACCTTAAAAAAGATGGAAAAAAATCATAAAATTGGAGCATGGTCTACAATCATCTGTCAGCTCTCCTGCACCATAGCCACACACACACACACACACACACACACACACACACACCCCGCTCCCCCCTCTACCTGCTCGGATGTCCCCTCTAGCTAACCTGACCTAACCTTCCCTCGCTCCCTTCCCTCCTGGGAAAGTCAAAGGCGCACACACACGCTCCCTGCGCACAGCGGGTTAAACTGAACTGCAGGAATCTGGTGCAGTGTGGAACCGTTTGACTGAGAGCGACGCCAATTTCTCTCTCTTTCACTGCTCTTTCTGTAGAAGCTCTGTTGGGTTACATGATACCCACGGAGCCGGTACACACGGGCACACGCACAGCCCTATTGAGATACATGGCAAATGTTGGCATTTTTTTCTTTAATACATATATATATTTAGCCCCATGGTCTGTCCATCTCTCCCCCACCCATCCACACAAAAAACCCATTATTGCATTTGTAACATTTTGGCACAGTACAAATTCTTGGTGCGTTTTTTTCCTTATTTTTTTAAATAAGATAAATCTGTAAATATCGATGTTGGGCTTTAAGAAAAGATCTTTAGAGAAATGGGTTTGTGTTACCGCGTTCTGTGGAGCAGCTTCTAAAAACTGATACTTCCTTCCCCCGCTTCCCGCCTGTCCCTTGGCTAGTTGTGTTCTCAGCCTCACTCCAGAAAGTCATTCTGGCATCTTTTTCATTTTGGATTTTGATTTTGATTTTGTCCCCCCCACCCCCCTCTTTTTTTATTTTTAAATAGAACTTACAAGTTAGAAAATAGGTTTTTTAATTTTAATATAATCTGCTTCTCTTATCAGCCCATAGATTGAATATATAAGCATATACAAGAAAAAAAGTCTCTCCCCCACTCTGTACAAAAGTTGCTGTCTTTTTTTTTGTTTTGTTTTGTGCATTCTATTGCATTTATAATTTCTGAAAAAAAGTCATATTTGAGTTTCCTGTACTTTGTCCTTGGTGTGGGTCTGAATTATATACGGTTCAGAGAGGGTGGTTACCGTGGGGTGTAACGAATTCCCCAGGCTGTTTTCTGTCCAGTGGGCCCCGTGTGCCGGTTTGTAGGTGTTGTAGCTAATATGGTCATGAATTGTAGGCAGCACAACCGCCCCCTCACCTGATACACTGGCCGGGGCCGCCGGGGCCGCCGGCACGTCCTCATCCACCTGGATGATCTCCACGGTCCGGGCGGCCGTCGCCGTGCTACGCTGTTGGTGCCGCTTGCGAAGTTTGTAGAAGACAATCAGCATGGCCGCCGCCAGCAGCGTCACTGTCACAAAGCAGCCGATGATGATCTTCGTGGTCTTCATCACCTCGTCCAGGCTGGTCTGCGTCTTGTCGCTGGTGTCGGCTGTGGGCACCGCCACCGGCTTGGGCATTTTGGTGGTCTGGATCAGCACGGTGGTGGTGGTGGTGTACGCCGGCTGGTACCCTGTCGAAGTCGTTGGCACTGGCTTAGTGAATTTCGGGGAGATGTCTTCGGGGGAGATCTCTGTGGTTTCCACCGTGACGGTGGTGAAGAAGCTGTAGTTGGAAGTGTTGAGCTCGGCCGTGCTCACGTTGAGGTAGGCCGAGGCGTTGGAGTTCCCTGCCACGTTGGTGACCATGCACGTGTAAACCCCAGTGTCCGTTAGCAAAACGTGGGAGAAGTTCAAGGTCCCGTCATTGAGGACGGATATCCTTGGGTGGTTAGACGCGTGGCTCAGAATGGTCCCGTTAGGCAGCAACCACCTCACAGAGGACATGGAGGGAGTCCGGCACTTGAGCTCCGCCACTCGTCCTTCCGAGATGTTTAGATCCATGGGGGCGTCCATGATAAAGGGTGCGGAGCACTGGAAGGAGGTCTGGTCCACCTCCACCAGGAACTTGCCCCTCATGTGCATCGGGGCATGGCAGCGCCCGCAACAGGTGGAGTTGGTGGGGATGTACTCCCGCAGCCACCAGGAGAGCCACAGGATGTCGCAATCGCAGCTCCAGGGGTTGTGGTGCAAGTGAAGCTCCACCAGGTATCTCAGGGGGGCAAAAAGGTCATGCGGCAACGAGGTCAGGTTATTGTGGGCCAGGTTGAGCTCCACCAGCGAGGTGAGGTCGTCGAATGCGTTCCGCTCAATCAGGCTGATCTGGGAGTTCATAATCCACAACTTCTTGAGAGACTTTAACCCATGGAAAGATCCTGGCTTGATGTCAGGGAAGTTATTCCCCGACATCTCCAGTTCCTCCAGCCCCACGAGGGGCGTGAGGTTTGGCATGTCTTTAATGTTACACATCCCAAGATTAAGGTACTTCAGGTTGTATAATCCCTCAAAAGCCCCCTCAGAAATGTACTCCAGCTTCTTGAGCTCGCCCAGGTCCAAGCGCATGAGGGACGGGACCCGGTTGAAGGCGTACGAGGGGATGCTCTCGATGGGGTTGTTCCTGAGCCACAGCTCCCGCAGCTTGGACAAGTACTCAAAGGCCCCGCTCGGGATGACGGTCAGCCAGTTGTCAAACAATTCCAGCGTGTTGAGACTGGCCAGCCCATTGAAAGCACCCACCTCGATCTGGCGGATGGAGTTCCTGCCCAGCTGCAAGACCTCCAGGTGGTGCAGGTGCCGGAAGGTGTCTGCTTGGATCAGCTGGATGTTGTTCTCCATGAGGTTGAGATAGCGGGTGTTGGAAGGGATGCCCTGAGGGACCTCCGCCAGGCCGCGGCGCGTGCACACCACCTTGCTGAACTGGTTACTGCAGGAACAGACGGAGGGGCAGTTCGGGGCTCCGGCCCAGACAGCTGCTGCAGACAGAATCCACACCTGCGCCGTGAGGTAGACGACCGAGAGCAGGACAGCATTCCAGGTGTGGTGCACAGTTACCTGCCACAAGAGCTTCATGATGTGGCACGTACATAATTCACCATCGTCCGGGATTTGGCACAGAAAGGAGAAGGGGCCCTATTCCCCCAGCTTAAACCAGCTGTTCATTCCTCTCGCCAGCTAACAAAGGGGCGGGGGGGGGAGGGAGGGAGCTGGGGTGGGGGGATCAGGGGAAAATGGGGTGAAGAAAAATAAATAAGAAACAAGGCAAAGCACGAGCCCCCCCAGCCGAGCCCCTGCTCTGTAATTGGCACCTGCCTGGGGAGGAAGGGGTCTGTGCGCTGCTCTTTAAGCTCTCACCGCAGGACGCCGCTCCATCCTCCCCGTCCCCTCTCCGGTTCAGTTTTGAATTAACAAAGGGGAAGAAGGGGGAGGGGGAGGGGGAAGGGGGGGTGAAAGACAAAATGGCTCCTAGTAAATCCAGAGCAGGAGCTGGGAAAGCAGCGTGGCAGGAGCCCGGCGGGAGGTGAGGCCGGCTCGGCTAGGCAGGTGCATGGTTCCCTCCTGCCCCGGGGAGCAACTCTGCCAGCGCTTTGCACATTTGTCCTTGGCTCCGAGCGCCGGCTGCTGCCAGCAGCTGCTGGGGCTGGTGCTCCATGGCCGGAGCGTGCACCCAGCCCCCCGGCCCCCGCCCCCGCCGGGAACAGCCAGACAAGGAACCAAAGAGAATCGTGCTCTCTGCTCGCTGCCCCTTTGCCAGCCTCTTCCTCTGGCCCCGCTCGGTCTGTGCTCGCCCCCCTCCCCGCGGGGGGCTCTGCTGGGGATCGCCGGAGGCTAGCGGCAGCCCATCGCGGTCGGTCGCTCTTGGCAGCTGGGGCGAGGGGTCACTCTGCACGCCCCCCCTTCTTCCGTTTGCGGGGCTGCGGTGCCTGGCCCGGCTGCAGCCTCCTCGCGCTTGGCGGCGACCCGGCGGCTTCCCCGGGGAGGGGGGCGCGCGGCCGTGCGGCGGGGGGGCCGCTCTGGAGTGCCGCTGTCTCGCTGGGGGGAGTGCACCAGCGCCGAGCCCCGCGTTAGCCCCGGGCCCCGGCGCAGGATGGGCAGGGCGGCGGGCTCCCCTCCCGGGGCCCCGGCCGGCTCCCCCGCGGCTCTGAGGCGGTGAGGTCGGGCGCCAGCCTTCCGGTGCCGTTAACGTCTTTGTTGCCCGTCGACTGCGGCGGGAGGAGGCGGAGGCGGGGCAGCGGTGGCGGCGTGAGAGGCACCGGACCCCGGTAACATCTTCCCTTCCTACCCGTGCCGGCGGCAGCCCTCTCCCCCGGCGCCCGGGCTCCCCGCGGCGGTGCTGATGCAGGCGGCAGCCGGGCAGGCTGCGCTCTCATCCTTTTGTCCTTCAGTGGGAACGCGGGTGTGCTGCTGACGCATCGTGTGCTGGGCAGAGCGGGAGCGTGATGCAGGGCTCGCAGCCTCCCCCTCCTCCGCCTTCCCTCCAGGGGTTAACGGCCAGGCTGCCCTCCCTCGCTCCCTGCACGGAGGGCCGGGAGCCGTGCCGGGAGGAGCGGCTTCGGTGGGTGCTGCAACAGGAGGCAGGGTGGCCGCGGACGGGGCGCTCCCCCGGCTCTCGGGGGAAAGGCCCCGCGATGCCCTGCCGAGCGCGGAGCGGGCTGCTGTCCGGGGGCCCGCCTGGGGGGGCGGCGCAGGGCCAGACGCAGGCAGCGCGGCAGCCGGGAAGCCTGGGCTCAGCCCGTTCCTCTGCCTCCCCCACGGGCTCTGTCCCGCCCCCCGGTTTCCCAGGTGCCTGCGTTCCGCCGAGGAGGGGCGTGCGGCTGGGTGGCTTGGGGGTAGAAGGGCCATGTCCCAGGGCTTGGGGGCGGGAGGGTCTCTGAATTCAGTTGGCCCATAGCCCTTAAGGGTACTGAGGGATGGCTGGAGCTGCGCCGTCCCGTGACCCCAGGGGGAGGAGGGGTGTCAGGCGTCACCCCATCCCGTGACCAGCGGGGGAGTGGGGTCGCCCCGTCCTGTGATCCGGGGTGTGGGGAGGGGTGTCTGGATTCTCCCCATCCTGTGACCCTGGAATGGCTGGGGGGGTGTCTGGAGTCGCCCTGTCCCGGGACCTTGGGGGGCAGTTGTCGGGTCACCCCATCTCCCCCCCCCGTGTGTGTGAGTCTGGAGTCACCATCGTCCCGTGACCCCAAAGGGTAGAGGGGGGGTCTGGAGTTGTGCCATTCCTTGAACTTGGGAGGAGGGAGGTGTCTGGAGTCACCCTATCCTATCATCGGGGGGAGAGTGGCCCCGTGGGGGGAGGAAGTAGCGGGGGTTGCCCTGTCTCATGACCCGTGTGTGTGTGGAGTCACCCCGTCCCAGGGGTGGGATCTGGATTCGCCCCATCCCTTGACCCCAGGATGGGCAGGAGGTGTCTGGAGTCACCACCATCCTGTGATCCCGAGGGGTAGGGCGGTCTGGAGCTGCACCATCCCTTGAACTTGGCGGGAGGGAGGTATCTGGAGTTGCCCCATCCTGTGATCGGGTGGCAGAGAGTGGGGTCACCCCGTGCTGTGACCCCGGGATGGGCGGGGAGGTGTCTGGAGTCGCCCTGTCCCTTGACCCGGGGTGGGGGGGTCACCCTGCCTTATGACCCAGGGTGGGGGGGTCTGGAGTCGCCCTGTTCCGTGACTGGGTGTGTGTTTGTGTGTGTCTGGATTCACCCTGTCCCGGGGGAGGGGGTCTGGAATCGCCCCTGTCCCATGACCCTGGGTTGGGTGTCTGGAGTTGCCCCCGTCTTGTGATCTGGGAAAGGTTGGGAGCTCTGAAGTTGACCTGTATTCGGGGGCAAGGGCAGCTCACTTGTAGCCTCGTGTGGAGGGGCAGGGGAGAGAGCAGTGGTAGGGGTGGGGGGGAGGCTGTGATGCTGCTTGCAGCCCCTCTCTGGTTCCCCATGCCCCAGGAGTGGTGTGTGCAGCCTGGCTCCCTTCTTGGGGGGCAGCAGGCTGGGGTGTTTGTGAGGCCCCTTTGTGCCCCTCGTGGCCGGATCCCATCGTGACCGGGGCTGGCTGGCTAGCCAGCACGTCCCCATCTGCCAGGGCCTGCCAGGGAGGCCAGGCACGCTGCCTTGCCAGCTGGGGGCTCTCAGCTGACGTTCCACGTGGCTGATCGGTACCTCAACGATAGGCCAGGATCCCAAAGGGCTGCAGGTCTCTCGCGCCCACAGCTGGCTCCGCCAGGCCCTACCCCACCCCCACCCCACCCCACCTGTGGGTCACACCGGAACAAGCCCAGCTCTCCGCCGCCCCCAAGGGGAGGCTGGGAAAGTGGCAGGACTGGCTTGGCAATGCAATGGGCACCCTGTTGCGTGGCTGGCGGGCATTCCTAGCTGGCATGCCTGGCAGCATGGCTTCTCCTAGCCCAGTCTGGAGAGCAGGGAAGGGGAGAAGTTGTCCCCCAAGCAGCCTTGGGGTTAATGCCTTTCCCCCCGGGGCAGACGTGATGTGATGGGCGGGAGGGGTGGTCTCGGAGTTGGAGCAGCGCCCTGGGTTTGCAGAGCGCCTGCTCCTGCCTGACTGGACATTGCATCCAAAAACCCTAGGACGAGAACGTTAAGGGAGCGAAGTGGAGCCCTCTGCAGTCAGGGAAGGCCACAACTGAGGTTGTTTGTGCAACCTGAACTCTATGCCCTCGAGCGATCGCTGGCTTTAATGATAGGATCACACACTGGTTTTTCCACACCGCCCCAGAGGTGCCTGAGGCTGGGGTCTGCAGAACCCCGGCATCATTTGCTGCAGACGTGGGTGTGCAGTGACAGAGGCACGGGATGCCGGAAGAGAAAGGAAGGTCTCGCGGCGAAGGCAGTCGAATGCTGCCCGGGAGAACTGCATTCTCCCCCAGCCGCTGCCCAGCATTTCGTGCGACGCTGGACAAGTCACAGAGGAAAATGCTCAGTTGGCCATGAGCTGGGGGCTCCTCTCTCGCCGGGCGCCCCGGGGAGCAGACCCGGAGAAGTGCAGTCAATGGTTGCTGTGCTTTGAACAGTGCTATGCACTTGCTAGGTACACTGGAACAGCAGCCCCTAAGTGTCTCGAGTGGGGTGCCAAAAATTAACAGATGTTTTTTGACAATTTTGGCCTTAATCTCTCCAAGTCTCAGCCCCCAGCTGTAAACAGGGATGATAATCCCCCCCTAATCTCACGGGGGAATTGTGGTGAGAAATCCACTAACGTGTGTGAAGCGCTTGGATTCTGCGGTGAGAGCACCATGGAAACGCCCAGGAGGCAAGGAATAAATGTTCAGTCGGTGCGGGGGAGCCTGGGGCACGTGAAATCAGGCCTGGGTCGCTCGCTGACGGAGGCGGGAGGCCTATGGAAGGAACAGCCTGGGACAGTGACCAGCCCATCTCATGCTGCAGAAAGGGGCGCAGCGCTCTGGCTGGTGACTCCCGGCCTTTCCTGGCTTCTGAGTGCTCCACTTGGCCACCGTCTTGCTCCTTTAGGGTAGTGTTTTGCGTGTAACAGGCAGCCTGCTGGTGAGGGTGGGGAAGCCGTATTGACAAGCAGGGCGGCCTGGCTGCACTACCTCTCCAAGTGCTCCCAGAAAGCAGGGGAGGTGAGTTGGATCTCTGGGGGACCCTGAAGCGGAGTGCCCTTGGAGCGCCTGGGCAGATGCCTGTGACCACGCTAGGTTTGGCTGGAGAGGAGGGACCGGTGCTGCCGCATGCTCCAGCTGGGTCCTGGAGGCAGGTCTGTCGCACCTTGTGGTTGTCTTGTGTTGCACGCTGCTGTGGTTGAGACACATAAGCATTGAAATCTCTCTGCTGCTGTCGGGGCACACGTACGGCACCTGCGAGCCCGTTGTACTGGGACAAAGGCTCTATCCAGGCGCAATGCAAAGTGCTCGGGTCCCATCACTCGGCTGTCGCTTCTGCTCTGCCAATGAGATGGGGGTGCAGTGTGGGTTTTGTGCCCTTAGCCACAGTTGTGTGTGCAGGATGCAGTCCCAGTTCCATGCACAATCGTTACGACTCGGTATAGAAATCCAGTCACTGTGCCCTCCCGTGGCTAGCTAGACCCCCTTGTGTGCAGAGCTGTGGTCACTCTAGGGGGAAATTTCTCAGGCAGGTGCACACCAAAACGGCGTGAGCAGCGGGCCCAAACGGACTGTGAATTCCGGGAGGGGCTGACTGGCTAGCGGGGACCTAGCCCGGCGTGAATGCAGCAGCTCAGACTGGTTTCTCATGTCGCTCTGTGTCCTGTTGGCAGGCAGAGCTGGGTGCACAGAGGGTGGTTGTCTGGCGCTGGGGGCTGTTGGTGGGCAGGGGAGAGCTAGGTTTGTGCCCATCCCTGGTACGGAGGGCGTGTGCCCCCGTGTGCTGTCAGAGTTCATGGTCTGGGGAGTCCAGCGGCTATCTGGCATCACACAGCAGCGTCTTCTCAGCCGGCATTTCCCGTCTTCCCCCCGGCTAGGTGAGCACAGCAATCCCATCGGCCCTGGGCCTCGCTCCTGTTGGCCAGGCCCTTTGTCAGCTGGGGCGTAGGCTCCTGTCGTGCACGCCGCACGGGGCTGCCTCTTATGTTCACCAAGGAACGGGCACGGAATTGGGCAGCTGTGAGCCAGTGACACGACTGCACGGCATGGAGCCTCGGGCGCCGGATGAGGCCTGTGTGGAGGGACCCGGCCGTGACAGGGGTCAGAGGCAGAGCTGGAGCTCCCGTGAGTCTCGGAGAAGGAGCTGCCAGCTGGACTTTCTCCAGAAGCCCCCCCCACCCGCACCCCAGGCTGGAACTCCTGCCCCGCCCCATCTGCTGCCAACCTGAGGACCTTCTGGTCATGCTGCACAGCAGCGGGGAGGGAGGGTCCTAGCGATGACTAGGGCTGGGGGAGGAGCGGGCGGCTGATGGCCTCTTCGGGGAGGAGCAGCCACTGGGTCTCGGGCTGCGTTTATAATGTGTGCCATGAATCAGAATAAATGGTCCCTGGGGCTGTTGGCCTTGTGCCTCCCTGGCCTCTCCCCAGGCCGGTGGAATAGCCCGGGATCTCCTCTGATCTCTGCAGGAGTGGGCCGCCTCCTCCCCCCTGTAACACCCCGGGCCCGCTGGAGCTCCCCTCTGAAGCAGAGCGTGGAACCAGGTGCCAGTTGGCGAGGGCGGGGACCCTGCTAGCGCCTGTAATGGATTGGGAGGGTCTGTGAGATGAGCCGGCTCCGCTGATGGCAGGCTGCCGGGGGGAGGGGGTGATTAGGGCTGCTATTTTTAAATACTTGGTGGCGCTCGACGCCGTGGTGGTGGTGGGAGCCCTGCCGGCACCAAGATAGATCGGGCTAATTTTGCCGGGCTGGCTATGTCGGGTGGAGAGTAATGGGATGTAATTCTGTCTGGGGAATCGCTCTCCCCTGCTCCTCCCCAGCCTTGCTCTGTGCAAGCATCTGCTCTTCCTGACTTCATCCCTGCCGGCTCGCACGCTGCTGATGCGGGACGCCCACCGCGCCCCAGCAAGCGGCTGGGCAGGAGTGAATTGAGCCCTGGGCGGGTGATGGGGCAGGAATTGAGCTCGCGCTGGGCTGGCTTAGATAGCGGCTATTTGCTCCCTGCCAGGCTCCGTGCTGCCATGTCCCTGCCTTGCTGCACCCCGCTTACTGGTGTTTGTGGTGGTGAAGCGCCAAGGAGAACTGGTCCCCGACCAGCACCCCAGGCTGGGCGCTGTATGAACACGCACCGGAGCTGGGCCCTGCAGATATGCCCCATTGCAGGTTCTCCAGCTC